ATCCTTAACCTCTTAATTATACATTTTTTTTACGTACTTGAACGGACAAGAGATGTTGTAAAGGTAATCGAGAAGAAGGGATAGTTCATGCTTCATTAACATAAAAAGAAATCTCTCTCCCTACCATTTGACTGCGTACATTCCGATTCAGTGTCTACAATTAGTCCTCGAGAATTATTACATCAGTATTTTCATTAGTAGTAACCTAGATCTTATTAAACAGTTTCTCATGGATTTCACCCGTTTGATTTGATAGCCAATTAAAAACTTTCTACACTTAAAACCCTGATTGTAATCCATATAGTTCAACCTCTTAACTCCCATATTTTATCTTCAAATATTGGTATTGATTCATATGTGCTGGAGAGGTTTTGTGACGTTAAATGATGGATAACCAATAATAACTAAGGCTGTTATTTCCAATTGCTAACCCTAAATTCGGGCAACCGAAATAACAAACAAGACCATTTAATTTTTGAGGAGACAAAGGATTATAGAAGATCAAGAGTGTTGGTCAAACAGGTCAATAAGAAATCAAAAAAGGGTGTATGAAAAAAAAAGTTGGTTGAAAATGTAAAATTTAACATTTCTTCAAATTCATTAATAAACAAAATGTGAGAATTTGAGTATCTTTGAGTTGTGAGAAAAGACAGATCATCAGTTTAAATAATGAAGATTTATGCAATATTCCTCGTCCTGAACAGTCACTAGATGGAAACAACATCTAACAAGATGATCACTATAACTGTGATCTTGTTAAAAAAAAAATTGAGAAGTTTGAACATAAAGCTCCTGGACTAGATAATATTTCACCAAGATTTTGTAAGAGGTTAAGGATGGGATTAGATAATATTTCACCAAGAATTTTGTAAGAGGTTAAGGATGGGATTAGATAACATTTCACCAAGAATTTTGTAAGAGGTTAAGGATGGAATTAGATAATATTTCACCAAGATTCTGTAAGAGGTTAAGGATGGGACTAGATAATATTTCACCAAGAATTCTGTAACAGGTTAAGGACGGGATTAGATAATATTTCACCAAGAATTTTGTAACAGGTTGAGGATGGGATTAGATAATATTTCACAGAGAATTTTGTAAGAGGTTATGGACGGAATTAGATAATATTTCACCAAGAATTTTGTAACAGGTTAAGGATGGGATTAGATAATATTTCACAGAGAATTTTCTAAGAGGTTAAGGACGGGATTAGATAATATTTCACCAAGAATTTTGTAACAGGTTAAGGATGGGACTAGATAATATTTCACAGAGAATTTTTTAACTAATAAACCTAAAATAGTGTGGTGATCAATATGGGTCAGTGTTAACTAATAAACCTAAAATAGTGTGGTGATCAATATGGGTCAGTCACTGACCCATATTGATCACCACACTATTTTAGGTTTATTAGTTAACACTGACTCATATTGATCACCACACTATTTTAAGTTTATTAGTTAACACTGACTCATATTGATCACCACACTATTTTAGGTTTATTAGTTAATACTGACCCATATTGATCACCACACTATTTTAGGTTTATTAGTTAACACTGACCCATATTGATCACCACACTATTTTAGGTTTATTAGTTAACACTGACCCATATTGATCATCACACTATTTTAGGTTTATTAGTTAATACTGACTCATATTGATCACCACACTATTTTAAGTTTATTAGTTAATA